CAAAACATGCTAACCATGTTAGAAACATGCTAGTAACATGCTAATCATGCTAGCAAAGGGCTAGTAACATGCTAATTGTGCTAACAACATGCTAGTCATGCTAGAAACAGCCTAGCAACCACCCCAGGTACCCTAGCAAAATGTTATATACATATCTGTTTTTCTGATAAACTGTATTGCCTTGAAAACATTCAAACTTTAATCTTTAAAACTATGCATGCACTGCCACGCATGACGCTCTCAGACTGCATTATTGTGCTGATTTCCAGTACAACATTCTCAACCTTCTTAAATCAAGATACAAGCAAAATGACAGATAGTAAGTCTTGTTTTCTGAAAAATGTATCAGAATGAAGTGAGTTTATGCTTAAAACAAGAACAAATATCAGTGGAGTCAGAAAAATCGACTTAATTCTGAGGGAAAACAAGTTTATTTTTCAGATTCCATTTGCATATATGTGACCCTGGACCACAAAACCAGTCATTAGGGTCAATTTTTCGAAATTGAGCTTTATGCATCATCTGAAATCTGAATAAATAGCTTTCCATTGATGTATGGTTTGTTAGGATAGGACAATATTTGCCCCAGCGACTTAACACTGATTTTGTGCTGCAGGGTCACATATTTGTTCTCGTTTTTTGCATAAACTCGTATCATTTTGGTAAATTTTTCAGAAAAGAAGACTTAATATCTAATGTCATCTAATGTATATTGATGTTGCGTGAGAGGATTTTCTTTTTCTAAAACTTGACGTAAACTTTGTTACTTGAAGTAAAATTAATGTTAACTGAAATAAAATAAAATATAAAACATCTCTGAGGGAGCTAAAAAATCTAAATATTGAGAAAATCATCTTTAAAGTTGTCCAAATGAAGTTCTTAGCAATGCATATTACTAATCAAAAATTAAGTTTTGATATATTTACGGTAGGAAATGTACAAAATATCTTCATGGAACATGATCTATACTTAATATCCTAATGATTTTTGGCATAAAAGAAAAATGTATAATTTTGACCCATACGATGTATTTATTGTTGGCTATTGCTACAAATATACCCCAGCGACTTGAGACTGCTTTTGTGCTGCAGGGACACATACACATATTTGTTCTCGTTTTATGCATAAACTCGTATCATTTTGGTACATTTTTCAGAAAAGAATACTTAATATCTAATGTCATCTAATGTATATTGATGTTGCGTGAGAGGATTTTCTTTTTCTAAAACTTGACGTAAACTTTGTTACTTGAAGTAAAATTAATGTTAACTGAAATAAAATAAAATATAAAACCTCTCAAGCTTATTTTATTTTAGTTAGTTATAGTAACAATGCAACATTTCTCATTTTTGTTCAAGTTGAAGTACTAAAATAAAAATGTAATAAAAAAATTTAAAACTATTAGACATATTCAAAAAAACTAATAAAAAATAAAACTAATTAAAAAAGAATAAAAATGACACTAAAACATCAACTAAAACTAAAATGGAAAATTTAAAAATGAAAACTAATTCAAAATATTAATAACTATTATAGTAAACAAAAAAGATTTAATTACTTCTTAGATTTTGGAATGTTTTTATCTAAATATTCTGAAATCTTGTTTTCCAAAAAATGTACCAAAATGAAGTGAATTTAAGCTTAAAGCAAGTAAAAAATGTTTTAATAGGAACGAAAACTTAATGAGAAAACAAGTGTATTTTTCTGACCCCGTTGGCAGATATTTGTTCTTGTTTTAAGCATAAACTCACTTCATTTTGATACATTTTAGATTTAATATCTTGTCATTTTGCATCTCAAATAAATCAGTTTAAGAATGTTTATAGATATTTGTACTGGAAAACAAAACAAAAATACTGAGTATGACAGAAACTTTGTTACTTGAAGTAAAATTAATGTTAACTGAAATAAAATAAAATATAAAACCTCTCAAACTTATTTTATTTTAGTTAGTTACAGTAACAAGGCAACATTTCTCATTTTTGTTCAAGTTGAAGTACTAAAATAACTAAAATAAAAATTTAATTAAAAAATTTAAAACTATTAGACCCATTCAAAAAAACGAATAAAAAATTTAAAATAATTAAAAAAGAATAAAAATGACACTAAAACATCAACTAAAACTAAAATGAAAACTAATTCAAAATATTAATAACTATTATAGTAAACAAAAAAGAGTTAATTACTTCTTAGATTTTGGAATGTTTTTATCTAAATATTCTGAAATCTTGTTTTCCAAAAAATGTACCAAAATTAAGTGAATTTAAGCTTAAAGCAAGTAAAAAAATTTTTAATAGGAACGAAAACTTAATGAGAAAACAAGTGTATTTTTCTGACCCCGTTGGCGGATATATGTTCTTGTTTTAAGCATAAACTCACTTCATTTTGATACATTTTAGACTTAATATCTTGTCATTTTGCATCTCAAATAAATCAGTTTAAGAATGTTTATAGATATTTGTACTGGAAAACAAAACAAAAATACTGAGTATGACAGACATGCACTCATATTTAGCATGATATTGAGCACGCTCTCAGTGTTTGTGATGTAATGGAGACGGTGTGTGTTTTGTGTGTTTTAGGTTAGGCGGCGGCCCGGATGATGCCAAAGAAATCATGCAGCACAAATTCTTCACTGGAATTGTGTGGCAAGACGTTTACGAGAAGAAGGTAAAAGCTCTGCACTGAACACACACACAATCATTTATCAGAGAGATCACAGCTAACTCAACCTCCTGAGACTACTAGTGGCACGAGAAGGAATTGCAAAACTAATTGATTGTTTAATGACTCTTTAATGAATGGATTTAAGACCATATTTCTCAATTGTGACCCTGGAGCAATTCAAAGTTTTACTTAAAAAGTACTACATTTTTAATGTTCTTAAGTCTCAATTTCTGAAAATTGACCCTTATGACTGGTTTTGTGGTCCAGGGTCACATTTGAGTTTGCGCAGAAGTGTTGTGTAAATGCTGGATGAGGTTTCTCTGTGTCCCTCAGCTGGTTCCTCCGTTCAAACCGCAGTCGACCTCTGAGACAGACACCAGATATTTCGATGAGGAGTTCACAGGACAGACCATCACCATCACACCGCCGGGACAAGGTACTCCAACACCCTCTCCTCACATTCTACAGACTTTATAACACAGAAAGGCCTCATATTACCTCATGAAGATTATTCAAATTAAACATATGCATCAGTAGTGCTGGGTGGTATACCGGTTCATACCGAATACCGGTGTTTATTTTTGTTATGATATGAATTTTTAAAATACCGCAATACCGGTGTATGTCGCTTAAACAACGTTGGGAACGCGACACTGTTTGAAACGGGTCTGACACAGAAGAACTCATCCACAATATCCACATTGACCGCCACAAATATCCACCGCCCCCTGCCATCAGCTCCCACGTCTCACACACACGAGCGCGACTTTAGCACTAGATTTAGCAACTTTCAGACCCTTTTAGTTGCTTTTTTCCAGAGAATATTCATACTGACAAACCTAGCGAATTTTTAGCTGTGGTTCAGTTGGAAGATTTCTCCAGTGCTGTCCCGCGAGCGCGAGGTCTGACTTTCCCGGAGAAGTGTCACCTCTCTCGGCGTCTGTTCTGTGCAGTGAGCGGCAGAGAAGCAGCGCATTCAGTTGGCCGCACCTGGTATTTTTTGACAATATTCACTCATCATGACAGTAAAATAGGGCATTCTAAGTCAATATACTGCAGTATTTCCTCTCTCAATCAGTAGAAGATATGGTTAACACCTGGTCATGCATGAAAAAAAAAAAACCATCATGTACCGTGAAACCGGTATAACTTTGAAAAATACCGTGATATACATTTTTGGTCATACCACCCAGCACTACGCATCAGCTTTAAATGCATTGATCAAAAAAGTTTCCAAATACATCATTTAACTTACAGTCTGCACATTCAAATATTCAATTTAATGTCAAAGAACAAAATAAACAAAGTAAGCTTTTTTCACAAAATCTGTGATTTCTGTGGCTGCTTGGATGCAGCAGAAAACATCACTTTCTTCTGTTACTGGCTGTAACTCCGATCTTAAACCCAATACCACCCAGCACTACGCATCAGCTTTAAATGCAGTGATCAAAAAAGTTTCCTAATACATCATTTAACTTACAGTCTGCACATTCAAATATTCAATTTAATGTCAAAGAACAAAATAAACAAAGTAAGCTTTTTTCACAAAATCTGTGATTTCTGTGGCTGCTTGGATGCAGCAGAAAACATCACTTTCTTCTGTTACTGGCTGTAACTCCGATCTTAAACCCAGGATGGTTTCAACATGTGAAAATGAGCTGTGAATCGATCAGAGAGTTGTAGTCTGGCTCCGATTCAGACAGGAATCATGTGTTTGTGGTGTTTTTCTGACGACTAATGGAGAATACAAGACTTCTTCACCTTACTAAAAGCTATCAAAAGCAAAAGTGCTACAAAATGCATCACATTTTGTGAGAAAGTGTGACGTGAAAGAGCCAAACAGACACTATTTTAGAATTTGCAGCTCAAAATTTGTAAGAAGTTAGCAACAAGATGTTAACCTTTTTCTAGTTGTATTTATGTGAAAATATCTCATGATGCAATATTCCGTAATGATTTTCATTAGAATTCTCATTTTCTACTTTTAGATCTGATGAATTATTCTCTTTCATACTGTCCACTATATAAAATGAAATATTTTTTTAATAAAATAAGATATTTTTAAATAAAAAATAAAATAAAAATTAATAAAATAATATTTTTTTAAACATTTAAAATAAAATATTTTACTTCTTTAGATTGCCTTTTTTTAACATAAAAACTAAACACCAGGGTATTTTTATTTTTATTGAATTGATCAAATACATTTCTGGCTAAATTGCATCATTTCACACACTTTTTTTATTTAAGCATATTGAAACGCAAAGCTTAATTTAGTGTTAATTAAGCATCAGTAACTATGATATAAGCATGTGGAAAACAGACGGTCTATAATAAAGCTCTGTATCCATTTCTAAAGAAAAAAAAAACTTTTCATTTGGTTTGGTTTGTATGGAAAATATTTATCATGGCCACAAATTAAGAATTCATTCCCAATTCATTTACTCATTCATTCCGTCGTTTTAGTAAATCATGGCCACATTGTAATAGTTTTTTCCTTTGTTTTCATTTAAAGGGACAGTTCATCCAAAAATGAATCCTGTCATCATTTACTCTCCCTCATGCCATTCCAAACCTGCACGAGTTTCTTTCTTCTGCTGAACACAAAAGAAGATGTTTTAAAGAATGTTGGTAACCAAACAGTTGACGGCACCCATTGACTTCCATTGTATTTTATTCCATACTATGTAAATCAGTGGGGACCAGCAACTGTCTGGTTACCAACATTATTAATTTGTGCACAAATTAGTACCACAATTAATATATCTTAATATAACAAACACCTGTATTGTACATTTGTCTTGTCAAATCATTTTGAGCATAAGTAAGTGCACCCCAAAACAATAAATCTCAAGTTATTTTCCTGAATAGTCCAACTTTGCATACAAGTTGTGGCTGCTGGGTTTCTTTCAGGTCAGAGGAGTGTATTATAGATGATTCTGGTTGTGTCTGTGTTTTGATCAGATGACAGTATGGAGTCGTTCGACAGCGAGAGGAGGCCACACTTCCCGCAGTTCTCCTACTCGGCCAGCGGAACAGCGTAAACCCACACAACTGCTCTGAGACCCAGCACGGCACCGGTTTACCACGTTTACTGCGTCTGGATCTGTGATGTTCGTCCGTTCCATGTTGCTTCTGTGGCCTTTGATTTCATGTTTTCTGAGGATATGAGAGGGAACACTAACATCTCCACTCAAACTGCCAAATTAATACAGAACTGATTGTGTAGCACTTCTTTAATCTGGAAACTAACGGCATGCCAAGTATTACTGTATTTACATTCAAAAACACCAATTTTAAGAACTGACCAATTGAAACGTACAGCAGAATAGCAGCTTTTATATGAATATCTAGAATGTCATTCTGCTACGTTTGTAATTATACACGATTTTTCTCGACTGTCTCGACCCCCGAAGTATTTTCAGACTAAATTTCACTTGCATTTGTGATCATTTGCATCGAATGTGCAATATAGTAGAAATGTAGATAAATTATTTTTTGTAATTATTAAAATGACTGAATTCCACTTAACACACCAAATTAACTTATTAAAACCCCCACCAATATAGTAAAGGAGTGAAGCTGTCTAGAACATTTCTGAATCATATTTCAATCAAAAAGAAAAATAAGCAATTATATTTTGCTTTAAGAAAATAAAGACTTCCAAAAACTATGGAATTTAAGTGATGAGAATCAAATGAGAATAATGATAGGAACAAATCAAATGTATGCATGAGAATGAGAATTTAAAGATTATGAAATTATAGAATTTAGAGTTTAAATGTGTCACTAATCCTAATTTACGATATGATGCAATTTTATAAAATTGAGTCATTACAGTTTCTCTTAGTGAAAACTGGCTTTTTTTTTTGCATGTTACCTTTCCATTTTTGGCATTGAATAAATTATTTTGTGTTTCATAACTATTTTACCATTTAAATACGGCATAGAAATATGGAAGCATGTTTCCGCCATGGGATAAAAAAAATAAAAAAAGGTTATTGCAACTTTTTATCTCATATATCTTTACATCTTAATTCTGACTCTCTTTCTCACAATTCTGACTTTTATTCTATTTTGGGGGGGGGTCTGAATTTAAGATATAAACTCACAGTTGCAAGAAAAATGTCAGAATTGTATGATAAAATGTTGCAATTACCTTTTTATTCTGTATCATTTATTCTGTATATTCTGTGGCCGAAACTAAAAAACTTTTTAATTTTTTATTCCATGGTGAAACAAGCTTCCATATAAAAGCCATTAAATAGACATAATACATTTTAAATAAATATAATGGAGGATGCTACCGGGGCATGTTGTCACAAAAGCTCAACAAGCATAAAGGCCGAAATTGATTTTAAAAATAAATCCATCCTGACAAATGCAGGATTTAAATGTCCTATTGGTCCTTAAACAGGCTTGATTTTTCCTCTTTTCTATGTGAGCTGGATGTGCTCATGGCTCAGTGTCTGATATTAAGCGTCGCTCCCGTGTCTAAAGGAAAGATTTGGATTCTCCGTCTCATCGATCCTCGTCCTTTTTTCTTTTGGAGGTTTTTCACACGTGTTGCACAACCTCAGCGAGGTACTTCAGTGACTGATCAACAGCTACGAGTCCAAGGGACCATCGAGGTGAAATAAACCTTGCCAGTGTTTGAAATGACTTTGATTTTTAGCTTCGGTTCCTTCGTTATTTATAGATTAACAGCTGGAAATGAGGTTTGTGCCACACACACAGACACACACTCTCTCACACACACACACACACACACTTACACACACACACACACACACACACACTCACACTCACACACACACACACTCACACACACACACACAGCTCATTCATTTGTACATTCTAAGTGTTTTGAAGGTAATTTAAAGCAACATTTCTACACATCAGTGTAAATACCATGCAAATGTTGCGATGTAATCAGCACAACCATAAATATGATCTTTGTACAGATGTGAGAATCCGTTGGCAGGTTATTATTATTATTATTATTATTATTGTTGTGAAAGCTCTGATCATTGTTGATATGATGTGTAATAATCACCATACATACATGAATGTAAAGGCCTTTCCTCTCTGTTCACTTTATGACCTTATTTTATATGCAAAACTATTTTTTTCCTGTTTTTAGATCTGATGTTTCATATGAATTATGCTCTTTCATACTGTCCTCTTTTTTTAAACGGGAAGATATTTGACTTTTTTATCCTTTCATTTTGTTGTCTTTTTTAACACGTGAACTAAAGAACACCAGATTTAGGACACAAATAATATTCGATTTGTATACACTGTTCGGCTGTTTTTATGATTTAGACTTTTTTCCATTGAATTGATCAAATAAAGTTTTGGCTAAATTGTATTGGTTGATTATTTCACAATAACCGAAACACAAAGTTTAATTTAGAGTTCATAAAATATAAATAACTAAGGTTCCATTAGTTAACGCATTAACAAACAATGAGCAAAACATCTGTTACAGTATTTATTTATCTTTATTAATGATTCATAAAATAGTTATTTCATGTAAGCTCAGGTCCATTACATAATATTAACATAAAACGTTTGATTTCAATAATGGATTAGTGAGTGTTGAAATAAGATTAATAAATGCTTTAGAAGTATTTTAATCATTCATGTTAACCTTATTTAAAGTGTTACAAAAAGCTAAAAAAACAAACAGTACAATTATTTTATTATAATATTAATTATGCATTATTATATTACAGTAATAAAATTATTGTTGTTATTATTATATATAAAATATTTTATTAGTTCATAAAAACACAACTATTCATTAATTCATGCCAGCTCAGGTCCATTAAATAATATTAACAGATACAACTTTTGATTTTAATACTGCATGATGCATGTTGAAATGAACAATAAGTAACATTAATAAATGCTTTAGAAGTATTTTATTGTTAGTTCATGTGAATTAACAAATGGAAGCTTACTGTAAAGTGTTACCAATTATATATTTGCATTTTGTCTTTCTATTTTTGTCATTGCATTATCAGTTTCACAGCTGTTTTACTATTTAAATATTGCGCAATGACCATTAAATAGTCTATAATGCTTTTTAAATACATAAATAGATGGATACTGGGGTATGTTGTCACAAAGCTTCAACCATCTGCATATTTTCCCCAGAAACTGACCCGTCCTGACGAGCATTCATCTGTGGAACGGGTGTGACAACTAGCCCCGGTTACTCGGTGTGTTGTTGTGTTGCTCCCGCAGTCTGAAGCAGATGGTTGAGTCTGAGGGCCAGATGTTGGTTACAAACCCTCACAGCTGGACGGTGTGTAGGACAGCAGCCAGAGGAAACTGCGAGACTGCAGAAATACACACCTACAGCCCAACAGAAGCAGAGGAGTCGGCGCTTTCTCCCGTCTCTGTGCTCCTCGCTGCAACACAAGCACACATCAGACCTGTTTCCAGCCGTTTAAACACCACCCCTCTGTCAGCACATGCAGACTAATGCATGACCAGCACATGCTGATAGTAGCAGAGCCTTTGAGTTTGAGACAAATGATTACAGAGAAGAACCACGTGTGCTGTTTGTACATAATGAGATCCAGGCCTTTAGTTTATTCATATGAAGCTCATCAAGGCTGCTTTAATTTGATCAAAAATACAGTAAAAATTGTAAAATATTATTAGAATCTAAACAGCTGTTTTCTATGTGAATATCTGTTAAACTGTAATTTATTTCTGTGCTCAAAGCTGTATTTTCAGCATCATTACTCCAGTCTTCAGTGTCACGTGATCTTCAGAAATCATTCTAATATGCTGATTTGCTGCTCAACAAACATTTCTGATTATTAGCGGAAACATTAATACTTATGAAAACATCAATAATAATGTTAATACAGATGAATAGAAAGTTCAAAAGAACAGCATTTATTTACAGCATCTTTTGTAACATTATAAATGTCTTTACTGACACTTTTGATCAATTTAATGCATCTTCAATTTAATGCAAAAAAAAATAAAAATCTTACCCCAAACTTTTGAATGGTATTGTATCACAGTTCAGCAGCACAACTGCTTCCAACATTGATAATAATCAGAAATGTTTCATGAGCATCAAAGCAGCATATTATACTGATTTCTGAAGATCACGTGACACTGAAGACTGGAGTAATGATGCTGAAAATACAGCTTTGATCACAGAAATAAATTACAGTTTAACAGATATTCACATAGAAAACAGCTGTTTTAGATTCTAATAATATTTCACAATTTTTACTGTATTTTATTAGCGGAAACATTAATACTTATGAAAACATCAATAATAATGTTAATACAGATGAATAGAAAGTTCAAAAGAACAGCATTTATTTACAGCATCTTTTGTAACATTATAAATGTCTTTACTGACACTTTTGATCAATTTAATGCATCTTCAATTTAATGCAAAAAAAAATAAAAATCTTACCCCAAACTTTTGAATGGTATTGTATCACAGTTCAGCAGCACAACTGTTTTCAACATTGATAATAATCAGAAATGTTTCATGAGCATCAAAGCAGCATATTATTAGCATATCATATTATTAATAATAATATTATTATTATTTCTGAAGATCACGTGACACTGAAGACTGGAGTAATGATGCTGAAAATACAGCTTTGATCTCAGAAATAAATTACAGTTTAACATATAATCACTTAGAAAACAGCTGTTTAGATTCTAATAATATTTTACAATTTTTACTGTATTTTTGATCAAATAAATGCACCCTTGGTGAGCAGAAGAGACTTCATTCAACAACATTATACGATCTTGATTATTCCAAATATTTGAAGTATACCTTTTTTACTGGATAATGGTTAAACATAAGGATTTTTTTACTCAATTTCTACCTTTAATTAATTTACACGAGTTCTCCACGTTTAGAAATTCAACAAAATTCGTTCATATAATCAGGATTTCCAAGACTAGAGATCCCGATTCTTTAATGAAAACAGCTGTTGAGGAATGTCTTGATGCACCATCTTTACCTCAGTACTTTTTTGATTTGATTCTTCTTCTTCTTGTTTTTGTTCACACCTTCTGAGGATTTAGTTTGGGTTCTTACTCTAAACTGTCTTTCTTTCGCGATCAGACAGCGCCACCCAGCGGAGAACGACACGAGTGTACAATATGCGTCGACTTTTCTCAGTTTTACAGTCCGTTACTGTTATTATGACTCGTTTACAGTATATTTGCAGTATTGGAGATTTCCTGAATATTTATATTTAATGTGAAAATAAAGGTTAAAGCACGTGTTTCAACTTTCTGTCCGCATTTCAGCACTAGATATGTTTACAGTTTTTTTAATTAATCTTTTTCTCACTTATATTATTTTCTTCCACTTTTATTTATTTTATATATCTAATGCAATGACATTCACACGTTAAGTGTCCAAATACTGTTTGCGGTCACTTGATTTATAGAAAACCGCATTAATCTCTATATGTAATTATGCAGCATATGCATTTGAAGGATCTAGTCGCATAAACGGGCTTTTATGTTGTGATCCAGTAATTAACGCTGTTCGTGGATCTTATTTTTCTCGCTGTAGTTATTATTATTATTATTTTTATAAAAATATATCAAAAAACGTATACATGTATATATAAATAAATAAAAATGGAATAAAGAAAATAAAGAAAGGCCTTGCTATTTCACAGTATCTTAAATGTAAAAAAAAAAATGTCGCTGTAGTTTCAGGTGGAGGCGCTGCGTCGTGACGTCACTGACGCACCGACCGGCCTGACAAACTCTGACGCAGCGTCGCGCGCAAGGCGGATAAAAGTCTCAATCCATCGGGAACAACGGCAGCAAACCGAGGCTACATGATTTCACTTCATCTAACAGAGCTGGAGACGCGTTAAAACCGCATTTAAACGCTTTAAAGCGTGTCGTCAAGCGCTGGGACGTTCGGGAATGCCAGGAATAAACTTCCTGTTGAGCTTTAGCCGCCTGGAGCTTCACTGAAGGTGCGACTGAGTGACTTTTACCTGGACAACCATCACTCTTCTGCCTCGATCAAGCCTCCTTTATGTGTTTAAAAGGCTTTATTTGTGCTGTCACGTTTCAGACGAAGCGG